TGATGTGTGAGAAGTGAGAGAGCTCTCTGGAGTGCCTTTTATAAGAGTACTAATCCCATTCATGAGGGCTCCACCCTCATGACCTAATTAGTTCCCAAATGCCCCACCTCCTACTACCATCACACTGAGGGGTAGAATTTCAACATATGAATTTTGGGGGGACACAGACATTCACTCCGTTTCACTCACCCACTCTCGTTGTTACCACATACATCAGGTTCTCCTGCTAGCTTCTGAGTCCTTTGTACATGCCTGGAATGTTCTTCCAACTCTACCTCTGTAGCACCTGTTCTTCAGATAGCAGCTTGGCTTTTCTTCCTTCTAGAAGTCTTCCCTGACCATCCTCATGCTCTCTCACCTAAAACTAAAATGCCTTCCCCATTGTTCCCATAGCTTTTAATGTACCTGTAGCACTTTTTCAACTATCTTAACATTTATTGTTATTTTTATGTAAATCTGGAAACTTCCCTGGGGCAAGACTCTTTACTCACTGTAGTAGCCCCATTACCTAACACTGGTTTGCCCATGGTAATTAAGTATTTGCTGAATGAATGAATGAATTCACTCTGGTAACCATACTTTATATATTTTAGAAGTTGTTTTTAAATAACAAAAATAAGTTAAATTATCTGACAGTCAGCAAATAGGTACAGGGTGTTTTGTGCTTGTTTGTTGTTTTTGTTTTTTGCTCCTGGTAGCTCTCCACTAGATGACTTTATATTGAAATTAATGACAATTCAATCTGTTATTCAGGCTTGTGCACTAGCTGAGTTGACTTGATTTTTCAATATGTTCTTTTTTAAAAAACACAAACTACTTTTACATTACCATTTACTATTGAATATATCTGACTGTTTATGCCTCTTCTAATTTGATATATTTGAAGAAGACAAAAACTAGAACATTCTTTCAAAGGAAATAAATAAGAATCCTTATCTATTTCTATTTCCTTTTTAATTTCTGAGGTTTATTTTATAAGTATAAATTCGGGCAAATATATCTCAACCTTTCATTGAATAATATGTTGCTATTCTAACTATAGTGCTGAGAAAAATAATTTTATCCTCTGTATCAGATGTAGAAGTACTAAAAATTCTAACTAAAGGCAAGTAACATCTGTCAAAGGTGACAGTAATTTATATTTACATATAAAAAACTATAAAATAATATAGAATACCTCATGGGGTTGTTGCAAATGTAACATAAAAATATCAGTAAAGTACATGCCATATAACAGGCACTAGTTAAATGTTAGATAAGTTATTTACAAGTCATCTCAGTCTCATTTCCATATCATTAATGGCAAGAGAAAAAGTCATTTCTCTGCCCCTTCCCTCCCCCAAAAAAGAAAAGAGAAAAACAGTAGAAAAGGAAGTGTAAGATATCTCTAGGAAAAACAAGCCACTGTATGAGGTACTGAAATCGATATATCACAGAACATGAACCAAAAATCATTCAACGTGTATATATTGTTTTCTCTGATGAGACTTTCTTTTCTTTATATCTTGTATCATTCCCTTTCAGTTTATCTTAGACTATTATTCCTGAAATAGTGCTTGATAGTATTGAACACAATCCATCAATGGTCCCCAATGTCTTAAAAATACATTCTATCTCTTTATAGTGAATTCATGACTTCCAGTGTCTAAATAATTAAAAAAATGTGTTTTTTAAGGGAAAAAGGGCCAGGTATTTGAGTATCCATTATGTACTAGGCACTGTACTATATATTATATTTGAAGAATTATATTAATCCTTACAACAATGCAGGTTTTGAAAACTAAGCATTAGAGAGATTCAATAACTAAGCCAAGATTACACTGATAGTTAATAGTACTACAAAAATTCAAGCACAGTCTAATACATAGAAATAAATGAAAGTTCTAGCCAGAGAAATTAATCAAGGAAAAGAAATAAAAGTCACCCAAATCAAAAAGGAAGAAGTAAAACTGTCTCTATTTGCAGATGACATGATATTATACATAGTAAACCCTAAAGACTCTACCAAAAAAGTGTTAGAACTGATAAATGAATTCAGTAAAGTTGCAAGATACAAAATCAATATATAAAAATCAGTTGCATTTCTATGCATTAATAGTGAACTGTCAGAAAGAGAAGTTAACAAAACAATCCCATTTACAATTGCATCAAAAATAATAAAATACTGAGGAATAAATTTAACCAAGGAAATAAAAGACTTGTACAATGAAAACTATAAGACGTTGATGAAAGAAATTGAAGAAGACACAAATAAATGGAAAGGTATTCCATGCTCATGGGTTGGAAGAATTAATATTGTTAAAATGTCCATATTGCTCAAAGCAATCTACATATTCAGTGCAATCCCTCTCAAAATTCCAGTGGCATTTTTCACAGAAATAGAAGAGACTTTTCTTAAAGGAACCACAAAAGACCCCAAATAGCCAAACTATCTTTGAGAAAAAAGAACAAAGCTGGAGGCATCACACTTCCTGATTAAACTATATTACAAAGCTTTAGTAATCAAAACCATATGGTATTGGTGTAACAAGAGACAGTGATCTGATCCACACAGATCAGTGGAACAAAATAGAGAGTTCATAAATAAACCCATGCATATATGGTCAATTAATTTATGACAAAGGAGCCAAGAATATACAATGAGTAAAGGATAGACTCTTCAATAAATAATGTTGGGAAAGATGGAGAGCCACGTGTGAAAGAATGAAATAGTGTACTATCTTAAACCATATATAAAAATCAACTCAATATGGATTAAAGACGTGAAGGTAAGACCTGAAACCATAAAACTCCTTAAAGAAAACATACAGGGTAAGCTTCTAGACATGGTTCTTGGCAATGCTTTTCTGGATTTGACTCCAAAAGCAAAGTCAACAAAAGCAAAAATCAACAAGTGGGACTACATCAAACTGAAAGACTTCTGTACAGCAAAGGAAACCATCAACAAAATGAAAAGGCAACCTACAAATTGGCAGAAAATATATATCTGATAAGGGGTTAACATCCAAAATATATAAAAAACTCATACAACTCAATAGAAAAAAAAAATCTGATTTAAAAATGGGCAAAGGATCTGAAGAGAGATTTTTCCAAAGACGACTTTCAAATGGCCAACAAGTACATGAAAAGGTACTCAATATCACTAATCATCAGGGAAATTCAAATCAAAACAACAATGAGATCACCTCACACCTATTAGAATGGCCATTATCAAAAAGACAAGAGATAAGAGGATGTGGAGAAAAGGAACTCTCATGCACTGTTGGTGGGAATGTAAATTGGTTCAACCACTATGGAAAACAGTATGGAGGTTCCTCAAAAAATTAAAATTAGAGCTATCATATGATCCAGCAATTTTACTTCTGGGTATTTATCCAAAGGAAATGAAATCACTATCTCAAAAAGATATCTGCACCCACATGTTCACTGCAGCATTATTTACAATGGCCGAGATGTGGAAACAACCTAAGTGTCCATCAACGGGTGCATGGATAAAGAAAATGTGGTGTATATATATACAATGGAAAATTACTCAGCCATAAAGAAGAAGGAAATCCTGCTACTCATGACAATATGGATGGACCTTGATTGCATCATGCTAAGTGAAATAAGTCAGACAGAGAAAGACAAATACTGTATTATCTCACTTACATGTGGAATCTAACAATAACGAAACTCATAAATACAGAGAACAGATTGGTTATTGTGAGAGGCAGGAGTGGGCGAAATGGGTGAAGGTAGTCAAAAGGTACAAACTTCCACTTATAAGATAAATAAATCTTGGGGATGTAATGTACAACATGGTAACTACAGTTAATAAAACTGTGTTGTATATTTAAAAGTTGCTGAGAGAGTAGATTGTAAGAGTTCTCATCACAAGAAAAAAAAATTTGTAAGTATCTGTAGTGAAGGATAACTTACTGTGATAATCATTTTGCAGTATATACATGTATCAAATCATTATGTTGTACGCCTAAAACTAATACCATGTTATTTGTCAATTAAATCTCAATTAAAAAGAAAAGAATATGGAAAGTTTTAAATAAATAGCTATCAACTCTTCTCCTGTGAATAGGACAAAAAAAACCAATAAAATATAAGACAATTTTAGGTTATTTCAGAGCGTAAGAATAGTTAAAGAGTAAACTCAATCATAGGAAGAAGTTTTGGGAAAACATTCCTACATGACTTTTACAATCTTAGTTGTAAAATTTTAGAAATAGACTAATCTAATCTAATCCCTTTGTTTTCAAATAATGAAAATGAGATGTTACTAGGTCAAAGTAATACAGCCAATTATTGGCAAAGCATGATTCCAACTCTCGTATGAAATCTGGGCCTTCAACTCTTGACTCTGGTCTTCAGTGCTTTTCCACTCTTTATGTTTCTTATCTAAGCACTTGGTTTAAAAGTGACCTGGAAATTTACAATGATCTCTGTAATACCTTTCTACTTTAAATTGCCTGTGTTTATCAATGGGTGTATTAGGAACTGAGCTCTCCAAACTCTCCCCACTGCCATTCATTTGTGAGAGACCTTATTTTACTTTAAAACTTTATAGACTTCTTGAAAAGCAAGACCTCAAATGTACGTCTCACTCACTTCTTGAGTGTCTTATGTATTAGACTTTTGAACATACATATTACTATACCAGGCATTTTTTAATACACTATCTCATTGAAATCTTACAATTGTATGAAATATGAAGAAGGTGAAGTTAGAGAAAGAAGATAATTTGGCCATTATTTCTTTAAAGTGGTTAATTTATTCTGATTCCATGTTCAGTGCATTTTTGCAGTCCACCACACTAACCGTTATTGTAAAAACCTCAGCCAGAGTGCCCAATTTGGATAGCAATTGGTGAATGTCTAGCTATAATAATTTTATTCCTAAAACAGTTGTTCGCATATAAAGTACAGTGGTTGATCTTTGCTGTTGAATGTATTTAAACCAACTGTTATTTGCAGTTTCATATTCATCAGGTTTCTCTTTCCTTTCAGGCCTGTATGTGGAATCAGAGGGAAAACTCTCATAATTAACCTGCCAGGTAGCAAGAAAGGATCTCAGGTAAGCAACCTTGAGATTTATATGGTTTAGTGTAAGAAGTTTTGACCAGCTGTGAGAGTTAGCCAACCAAAAAGTTGGAGCACTCTACAAGATTGCCCTCACTTCTGACACCAGTTGCAATTCAGTGCATTCCCCAAACCACCCTCAGTTTCAATAATTCACTAGAAAGACTCACCAAATTCACTGAAAGATGTTATGCTCATGGTTATGGTTTATTAGAGGGAAAGGATACAGATTAAAATCAACCAAGGAAAGAAGCGTATAAGACAGAGTAGAGGAGACATACCAAATGTACAGCTTCTAATATCCTTTCCCTGTGGAGTCAGGGACACAGTACTATCCTGGCATCAATGTGTAACACAAGGAGTATTGCCAATCAGGGAAGCTCCAAGCCTTTGATGTCCATAGTTTTTTTGGAGGTCATCACATACTGCCCATATGGCTGACCTTTAGTCTCTAGCACTTCCAAGAGGTTGGTCTGATACCTTTACTAACACTTTCCAGAGGCAAAACTGGTTCCACATTGACCAAAGACACTATCATAAATCACAGTGTTATACTATCTGGTGGCCAAAGTCCCCAGGCAAACAAAGACACTCCTATCACTTCCCAGTAACTGAGGGCAAAGGCCAGACTCTCTTTGGATAAGGTTAATTCTTCATTACACAAGCTATCCCCTAGCCTTTGGCCAAGGCTCTCTTACAGCAAAACAATCATATTTGTCTGGCTGGGCATCTATATTTACTATAGCATTTATGTTACAGACACAACAGTATCAATGTGAATATGCCTAAGATTTGAAGGAACCAGTGTGGTATAGGGATATATTTAGAGAAACAACTAATCCATCCTCTAAAGCCATTGTACACATTTTCATTTTTTGTACTAATTTAATAATTTTCCACCTTGATCTACTACAATTTGTATCCTGTGATACGTTCGCACAGAACTGTTTACCATAGAAATTAGTTCTCTTGCTCAGGCCAGTGATTTTCCATTGGTATTACATTTTGAGGAGGCTTTACCTCAATTTCCCAATACATATGACTGTGAATATCAGTATTATAATCTTACTAACAATGCCAGTATTATAACATATCACGGTATAGTAGTAGATATAACTTGAAAAATGAAAGTCAGAAGATACTGGCATGTTACTGGAGTCCTACACAGACATTAATAGTTAGCCTAGACCATCATCATTTCATGTGACCTAAATCTCTCCTAGATCGATACTACTCAGATTTACAGCTTGTCAGATTCCAAAAGCAGGAGTAGTCTCAGCAACATATGGCTTTACCCTTTTCAGCATCTGTCACAACTGAGCTAAGAAACAATATCATCTCTTGGTCTAAGCCTCTTTTGAGACAGCAATAAAATATTGGATTTGCCTCATTGCATACCCCATTTATTCATTCTTTTACCTTCAGCTACCCTTCCTCCTTCTCTCCATTTATACCCAAACTTTTCCTGTGATAATTTTTGAATGAGACAGTTGGTTTGGCCATTGTGCTGGTCCAGATTGCCATCAGTAATACTAGTTTAGCAAGTACCTCCTGCTTAGTCCATCTCCATTCGTATATGGTAAAGTTACATAGGTACAGAACTAGTGGGCAGTCTCAAACACCAGGCAATATAACTGCATTCACTATCAACCCCAATTTGGCCAGATGCAGTAAGACATAGTCTACCACATCAGGCCCTTAGGAATTCTGACATAAAGGTTTAAAGGCACAGTTATAGGTTCTGCTTAGGAATGATCCCTGCTTCTGGCACCCAGTTGCAGCCTAAGTCCTGGGACCACTGCATCAATAGAAAAAAAGAGAGTTGAGGTGACGTGGAGAAAAAAGAAAAATTATAGTCCTAAAGAAAAAGTATAGTCATTCCAGCATCCTCTCCTAACCCCCTCTTCCCCAGAAAAGTAGAAGAATCTATCTAGTGGGGACCCTCCTTCATGTCAAGTGTGATCACACACTAATGAAGATGTGTGAGCCAGCCTTTCAGGCTTTTATCTCCTCCCGTTTTAGACAACAGATGTTTCAGTTGCCCATTCCAATTTTCTACCATATCATTGTTCTGAAGATGAAACTGTGTTCCTTGGTCTAAAGAAATGTGACTCCATGGTCAATGGTACAATATCTTCTGTTCTGGTCCTTATATAGTATGCTGAGCATTTGCATCTACCACTGGGTAAGCAAATCCCAGTCCAGAGTAAGTGTCTATTTTTGTTAAGACCTATTTGTAGCCTCCAGGGTCTACTGCATCAGTCCAACTGCCAGCCATGTGCAGGACCTTCCCCTGTGGAATCTGCTGCGTAGCCCTCTGCCATATCTCTTGTTAGCAGACAGAACAGACTTGGCATTTTGTGCCTCAGAAGGTGCAAGAGGAATATATCTAGATTCAGCCCATCTCTGCATTGCTGCAGCCCCCCAATGTCCACTCCTCTCATGGGCCCAGGTGGCCACGTCAAGCCAAGCATACCATGCTATCTGCTCACCAGTTCCAGTCAACTTCCAATTCTGGAAGGGGGTTCTTCTGATGGGCGTTAATGTGTCCTACTTTAATATACTCCTTACACTCCCAGAGTGATTTCCAAAGGACCATACAGACATCCCTTTAATAGACCAGTTTTCCATTGCCCTTCTGCCTGACTGTATGGCCAGGCCATTGGACACTTCCCATGAGTCGGTAAAAACCTAAACATAGGGGCAAACATCACGCAGTTCAGCTTATCGAGCCGATTTGTTTTTACCTTCTTCAATCAGAGTGGCGGCCTTCCGAACAGGATGCTGTCCCTTCACCTTGGAATTACCATCCATAAACCAAGCAGCTCTTTGTTGATCAATAGAAAGCTGTTTATAGGGTACCACCCAAGTGGCCCAAGTGGCCATAGCATCCAGCAGGTCCTCAAGTGGTTTCGAAGTCAGCCCTAGGTGAAAAGAGACCACCTGCTCGTGAGTACCTTCTTGCGTTCTCCTGGTAGCATGATCCTATGTGCACCATTTCCATTTTATTATGGAAGTCTCCTGGGCATAGCCTTCCTCATTAGAGCATTTCTCAGACATTACTCAAGACAATCTGAGTATTTCAGGTTTCAAGATTATCTTATGTCCTTCAGTCATAAGGGCAGCCTCAATTAAAGTCCAATAGCAAACTAGTAGTTGTTTCTCAAATGGAAATTTTCTGGTCCAAAATCCCAGCAGTTGTTGCTGGGTGGCACTCACAGCTTTTTGCCAAAAGCCCCAATCTGCAGTCCACATAGAACCATTGTATAGCAAATTAATGACCTATGTAGGTTCAGGCAATCTTACTGGTTCCCATTTAGTATGTCCAATCTATATTGGCAGAAGAGTGGAGTTATGTGCCTTGTGTTTTACAGTACGAGGTACGAAACGCAATATCCATCCCCGTAATACATTCAGGTAAAGGAGACTCACCACTTCTCATAAAGTTCACTGTCCAAACATTCTAATTTTCATCCAGACTTTCACCTTAATCCCATCAACTGTTGCTGTATCCTCCCAATCTAACTGTACCCCCCATTAGGACTTCAACAGGTTTTAGAATCACAGCACATGGGGTTCCCATGTCAAAGAGTCCCAGAAAATTCTCTTCTCCATCCCCTGACCATTTTACCCATTCATGTGCATTTGGCCTTGGATTTCTAGGCCTGGATTGGGCCGAGGGCTCCAGACCTTTTGTCTGGCCTTATCTTGATTGGATTATGGCCCATCACTTAAGGTGATTCAAGGTGAGGTTTCTTATAGTCATCTTTGCCTTCTAGCTTTTGTAATACCTCCAAAGTAGAGTAAATAGAGATTTGTTTAGGACCCTTCAGTGTTGGGAGACCAGCAGGGGCTCCCATTTGTCCATTCAACCCACAGTAGTGCTACGTTAAGACCTTTGTTTGCCCCCATCAATACTCAATTTATTCATTCATTTCTTATTAACCATTTAAATATTTCCACCTTGGTAGGACAAGTCTCTTGAATCTCTCATGTTTCTTTCCCCATTCTCTTCTGAATTAGTCTAACTTTATTCACTATTTATAGCTTTGACATAACTTTTTCCTTTGGAAGCAGCTCTGAGGCTAGCCAGCAAGAATCCAAGTTTGGCCCAGCCTCAGGATCCACCCCAGCCTTATCCCTTACTTTTGTTTTAGCTAGTACAGATAACAATAGCCAAAGGCTTGTATATTTACCTTGTTTCTTGTTATTTTGCATTTCTTTATGCATCCACTAACACAGTTCCTTAGGAGTTGGATCTTGCATTTCAAAATTCCATTGCTAGCTTTTATCTCTAGTAACTAATCGCAGCACAGCTGCAATTCTGTACTGTGTGTGTTCATCCAGGCTCTAAAGATTTTTCATCCCCTACGCTTTGTTCCTTCCTCTTCCCAGATCACATGTTTCAGTGAGTCAGGATCTTTCTAGCAAATCTTACTTCTCATACCAGTTTCAATTCAGGGGACTTCTAAAATCAACCTCAGTTTAATAATTTACTAGAAGGTCTCACAGAACTCACTGAAGGCTATTATATTCACAGTTATGGTTATTACAGGGAAAGGCTCCTAACTGAAATCAGCCAAGGGAAAAAGCACGTAGGGCAGAGTCTGAGAGAGGTACCAAATGAGGAATTTCTAGTCATCCTCTCCCATGGAGTCATGGACAGTATTACCTACTCTCGGTCATAATGTGAGACAATACCCACAGAGTATTGCTGATTAGGCATACACACCTTCACCTTTGGTGCCCAGAATTTTTCCTGGAATTCGATCACATTTGCCAGCAAGGTCGACCTTTAGTCTAGCCCTTGGGGGGGGGGGGACACGACTGATGCCTTTAGTCTCCAGTTCCTTCCAGAGGCAAAACTCCCAAAGCACTCATAATAAATCACATTGTTAGACTATCCAGTGGCCAAAGCCCCCAGGCAAACAAAGACACTCCTGTCAGTCATGACATTCCAAGGAACCAGAGATCACCTCCCAAAAGCTGAGAGTAAAGGCCAGACCTCTTTTTGGTCAAGGTTAGATTCTTTCATATATAATCTTTATCAGTAAAGTGATTGAGCCAAACCAAGAGAGGTCAAAAGATGAGGCACCCTTCCAGGTATTCCAGTAACCTTCCATAAATTGTAATATATTTCTTTATGTCTTAGATTTTAAGGTAAGTTACCTAAAATGTAAAAGAGAAAGACCTCTGCCCAAACATATCTATCCCTATGTTCTGATTTTAAAGTTCTCGCCTATTCTCTTTTGGTGATACATTATAGGTAATAGTGAGCAGGAAACTGAATTGACTTTTATGCAGTGCTCGATACAAACTTGTATCTATTTTTATGTATTGTACAACAGTGTCTAGGTAACTTTATGATGATAGTCAGAACTTTAGTGCTCTGAATAAAAAAGTTCACTCCTCAATTGGTTTGTTAGTTCTAGCGCTCTGCTCTAACTAGAAAGGTGAAAACTGTTTCCTGGGTTTCACATAATGTATCTTTTAAACCCTAAAGTTGTGTAGAAATTTTACTTTTAAAAAACGTGGTGTGCTTATATTGTACTGTAGTTCTTCAGCTTATGGAGAAGATTGTAATATATGCCATGCTTACTTCATACTTCACATTGCAAAGACAATGCTTTAAATATGATTCCTTCTTAAGATGGAGGGAGAGAAATAGAGATCCAAAATCACAAATAAATTTGATTGCTCCCTTTTTATATGCCTGTGAAAGTGCTTCATCTTCATTTTTTTTCTTCCTCTTGTATACAGGAATGCTTTCAGTTCATACTGCCAGCTCTACCTCATGCCATTGACCTTTTACGTGATGCCATTGTAAAAGTAAAGGAAGTGCATGATGAACTTGAAGATTTACCTTCCCCACCACCTCCTCTTTCCCCTCCTCCCACAACTAGCCCTCATAAACAGACAGAAGACAAAGGGGTTCAATGTGAGGAAGAGGAAGAAGAAAAGAAAGACAGTGGTGTTGCTTCAACAGAAGATAGTTCTTCATCACATATAACTGCAGCAGCCATTGCTGCCAAGGTAAGCCTGCTGAGAGAGACCCAAAGATCTAAAGGACCCACAGGTAAATGTACTAATTTCGTCCCTCTGTCCATTCCATCCTTCCATAATACCTCTTCAGGGCATCCTTAAAAAAGAACTGGGATATTCATCACACTCCACTGCTATGTTCCTTCCATATTGAAGGCATTAAAGTTTGTTCTAAGTTTTGAGGCATTAAAGATACTGCTGTTACCTATTGAAGTAATAGCTGCCAATGATAAACAATGTGACATTTAAGAACTCTTTGGTGATATCATTTTTGTAGACATATATTCAAAACATCAAATATTCACAGATTCTTAAAGGAGCAGCAAACTGAAGGTAAGAGACCTTAGATGATTCAAGAAGCTAGCTGAAAAAGATTAGTAAAGATTTTTTTAGAAGACAAGGTTTTTCAGCAATTAACAAAGCATTTATTTAAATATTACTTGACACAAATTACCCTAGTGGTATAGAGAGGAAATAGATATATTTGCATTTTTAATCTAATAAAGTAATAAGTATTATTAGGACAGTATCAAAGTATTACAAATTCTCTCTGGGCAATTCTGAGAGTAAGTAGAGTACCATGAGGTACTTGAGTAAATTTAGTCATCTTAAAGTCACAGAACATGATTTACATTATTATCTATACCTAGTATATTTCACTTAGTATGCTATAAAATCTTTAGAAAGTAGCATAGCACTTCTGGGAATAATGATTGTTCATTGATTGAGAGTATAAAGACTGAAAATCGAATCACATATGAAGTAACTCCTAAACTTTGATGGATCATCCAGATATTTTCGCCATGAGCATAGCATGAGAGGGTTTTTTTGAAAACGTATAGATTAGAAAGAATCATAGAGATCTTTTGGAAGTGTCCATTCAGACAAACAGTAGATGGTTCTTTCACTAAAGACAGGGTGATTCTGTCTCCAGATCCATTCAGTGATTTATTAAGTCCTTACGTAAGGCTAGTAAATATTTAAGTTCTGTGTGAGGTTTGTTTTGTTTCATTTTTATGGAACTGATTGGTAAAATAAGTACATTTTTAAAATCATTATATCTTCTGTCTCTTTTAATTAGAAGAGTAAAAAGTACCATCAATTTCAGTCTTAAGAAAAAAGCTTCTACAATTTGAAATCTAAGCTAATTTTGTCATTCTACATTTGAAAATTTTTGACATTTCATTGTTCCATTTGTTTTCACCCTTTTTCCTTTCCAGTCATTTTGCTTGTATAGTTTCATGTTTTCCTGTCACTATATTCATAGTTTTTATGTGTTGTGCATTAGAAGCATCCATTCTACACCAGTCCTGCTGTTTTCATGGCACACGGTGAGCAGCCCATCCCTGGTCTCATCAATTATTCCCATCATGCAGCAGGCAGTACAGATGAACGGGTAAGACAAGAGGCTTTGGCATTAATGATTTTGCAAGCATACACCCTACCTCCTATCCTTGGAGGTAGGCTATGACATGTTATGGAAGATGTGTTTTATTCTGAAGGATCTTCAGCAGTGCTTTTTTGTGAAAGTGTAAGTGCCACTGAGTATATTCCATCAAGGAATTTAATTTACTAGAGTTTCTCCTGTAGCTAAAGGACTCAAATATCATTAAGATTCTATACCGTGTGGCAATGAGCTTTCATCACGTGACTTCCAAGAAATTCATTGCTCAGAAGGTATTTTTTTCTTTAGCAATTTCAACACAAACCTTTAAATAAACTACCTGTTTTAATTAAGATAATCCCTGAAGAGGATCACTTTAAGTCTTAAAATCTAAACAGATTGGTCAAGCTAATATTTACAGTCATGTGCCACATCATGACATTTCAGTCAACAATGGACAGCATGTACGACAGTCGTCCCATAAGATTAGTACCATATAGTCTAGGTATGTAGTAGGCTATACCATGTAGGTTTGTGTGAGTACACTCTATGATGTTCGCACAACAACGAAATCACCTGACGATGCATTTCTCAGAACATATCCCCGTCGTTAAGCTACTCTTAACTATAATTTGTATCACCCTTGCTTTTTTTCCTCATGATTTTGCATCTTATTTTCTTTTCCTTCACTATGATCTCTTTACAAACATTTAGAGAATTGAATCTTGGTACATTTTGTAAGATTACTAATCTTCAGATTATTCACTTCTTTCAGTCACTGGCTGTATGATAGTTTGTAAAAAGTGCCAGGCTAGGAAAGATTAAACTGATAAGTATAAATGACTAAGCAGTGATAATTTAGACAATGGCTGCAAAAAAATCTATCGCAATCCCTAGTATGGATATAAAATGAGAGGAAAAAAAGAAGAAAAAGAAACAATAACATGAAATTTGGCTTTAAATGCTTAGAAAGAAAAAACACCCAGAATTTGAGAAAGGACAGAGGAGAAAACTAACATCAATAATCTCTTGGAAGATACGCTACCAAATGAAGACTTTAACCCTTATATCAACAAGCCATGCGTGGCTGGAAATAAACTTGAGTTAGTCAAAGGTCAAGTAGAAAATTTAAATATTGATTAGTAAAATTATTAATGAATTTCAGTTGACAACTAGTATGTGAATTGTCCAGATATAGCTTTGTTATAAATTTTAAACTTTCCAAAAAGTACCAAACTTGAAGCAGGACTATCTTTTGTATCCTCATCTTATAAAACAACACAGCAACTAGAGTAATCATCTTAGTTTTCAAACTAAAGTATTTGGAAGTTTTGTATTCATAACCAAGCTTTTAGGTTATCATATTCTGAGTTTCATATTATTACACTGAAAATAATTAGAGTGACTCTTTTTTTTCAGTTCTCCCAAGGATTGCACATAACTAGTACCATTCTAGATGCATAGAAGAGAAATTAATTATTACATACAATGGATTCCTTAAATTATTAGGGCTTAATTCTCTGGAGGAGCTAGTTGAGAATGGCTGTTTAAATGTTCTAACTGGATGTCCTTATATGGCATCACCCAGGAACTTCTCATTTATTAGCTGATATTTACTAATCCTTTGTAAGTAGTAGTTATGGTCTTTTTGACAGATAGTCTGTTTTGTAAGTAGACTTACATTTTTGTGCTTCCTTTGACAAATGATAATCAGAGCTGTACATCAAACAGTATAATGTTCTTGTTCTTCAGACCTAGCATCCATAGAAAAGAATGAAAAAGAAGAAATAGGTAACAGAAAATAATGAAAAGGCAGGCCTTTAATGTTCTTGGTGCTCCTAAAGAAGCTATGTTAACCCTGGGAATGCTTATCTGGCATTAACTTCATTAATGAGCCTCATTGGCTCTGAGTGCCCTGGTTTGTTGTCAGTGTTTCAGATCTCTATATGAGAACAGTCATTTGGAATATCTCTACAAACTATTTGGCTGGTTTTTACAAGCTTTACTGATGTAAAATTTTAAAATTAATTTTTGAAAGGGAGAGTCTAATTATTGAAGAGAAAAACACAATTTCTCTCAGCTGGTCACATTCTGAGGCATGTGAAGCAATGTGGAATAATGTAAAAAATATGTAACTTAAAATCAGAAGACCTGATTATAAGCCCTGACTATACCACTTAATAATTAGGGCAAACTACTCAAGATTTAAGGTTTAGTTTCTCATCTATAAGATGGGAATAATAATAATTGCCCAGCATGTCACAAGACGTTATTTTTTGTAGCAAATAAGATAATATATGAGTGAAAAATTATAAACTTTGTATATTTAGAGTTTAATATTTAAAGAATTCTTTCTAGGTGCCAAACACTATGCTTGGTGCCTAGAATACAATTATAAATAGATTATTCTAACCCATAAAGTGTAACTAGGGAGCTCTTTTTATTACTTCTTTACTTTCCTAACTCAATTATCTACTTCTTATGATCAAGACAGTGAAACCTGATGAATGTACTGACTCTTTAATAGTTGCCAGCGATCTGATTACTAGTTATTGCCAAACTAATCAACTTGCTTTTTCAGGAAATAAGAAGGTTTGAGGAATGCCTCTTGTAATGGATATTTGTTAGTTGCCTCTCCAGCAGCCATTTCCCATTCCCTCTTCCTAACACTACACCACATTTCTCGGTCGTATAGTTTGGGTGGGATTGACTAAACCTCCAGGGTAGGTTGGCTTAATATGATCAGCATATCTATTTCACGTAGCCACAATTTTTAGTTAAAGGAACATGTATTTCAGGCCAGTCAGAGCAAGTGGGTCTCATCTCTTATATTTTATTTGAACTACTGGGGACACAGATTCTCTGTTTCCCATGGGAAACAGAGGAATATAAATGAGGAAATATACCCATGAATTAGGCAATATATAAACCCAAGAATTGCCCTCTTGGAACCATGAAAGGAATGCCTGCCAATAATGGAACCAACAGTAAAGAAGCAGTCCTGAGAAATGGAAGAGAAAGAGAGATATTGGGTCCTGGTCAGATTGTTTGAACGACTCACTCAAGCCCCTGTTGAACTGTACCTACCTCTTGACTTTCAGTTACATGACCCGGTAAATTACTTTTTTAAAAAAAGACTAATTAGAGATACAGATGGGTATACTGTTGTCTGCAACCAAAAAGCATCTTAACTAATATACTTCAATAAATACTGTCTCATCGAAGAGATGTAAAGTCTTCCTCATCATGACTGAAGTATATCAAATAGGAATCCCTGAAGTTTCCTATTTGAGTGAGAAAGCTGATTCAAGAGGATAGAGAGTAGGGGAGTATGACACAAAGGAGGAAAATAAATCCTGCTCCTCTGTGGTTACTAAATAAGCATGAAGGTCTTTTCAAGGAGACTGGATCCAAATCCAAAGAAATTACAACTTGTGCTTCGCAGCCTTAAGGCAAGTGATAGATTCAAACTCCAAGACCTAATGACAGCCAAGGAGGAATTTGAGACAATGAGAGAGGATACCCATGAGGATACATAATAGGAAATCTTGTCTCACTGACAGAAATTAAATCTTCTGGAGAGGTCTAACATAATAATGATGTTACTCAAGCTCCACTGGATGCAAGAAAATCTCCTCCTTGCCCTGGGAAGAAAAAGAGTGTGGATTTCCTTTTGGTACAGGATATAGAGAAAACAGTATGTTGAATTCACATGGCCGGTCAAGAAGAGTCTGTCTTCCTGGAGCATTTATTTGGAACTTAAGAGAGGAAATGCTAAGAGTTAGCAACCTGCCCCTCCTATAGATTTGTCTGGAAATAAATGACCATTACAAAACACCAGAGACACTTAATAAAGTTTTGGTCAGAAAATTGAAGAACATGCAAGCGCTTATATATATATATTTATACATTGTTTCTACCACGAGGATTTTGGTATATTAAAATAATATTAATTGAGTCACTTTTCTGAACATTTTACACTTTTCTAAACATTTTACATATATCAACACTTTACATACATTGTCATTTTACTTATGAGAAAATGAAGCACAAAGAGGTTAAGGACATATAACTAGCTAGTGACTGAACTGGTATTCAACTCCAGGTAGTCTGGCTCCTGAATCGGCACTCTTGACCACTCTGTTATGGCACCTCTCAGTACGAGAGAAAGAAAAGGTAAAGTTCTAGGAGATGACTAGCTAGTTACAATTTCTTCTCAAAAATGAAAATTGGGATTTGGGGACCTTGGTTTGAAATACTTGAATGATAAAATGCATTGCAGAACCTAAGAATTATAAACAATAGAATGCGTTGTCCTCTGGAAGTTTACTGATCCAAGCAACAGAGCTTTCAGCTATAAGGACCAGTGGAATCAGAAATATATTTAGATAAATCCATGAAACCAAATACTTTGGAGAACAGGGTATGATATATGTTAAAGGATAATATTTTTAAAGGTTCAGTCTTAACACTTATAGAAATATAAAGTAAATCTGTCAAAACATTTTATTTAACTAATTAATTAATGAGATAACAGTAAGAGTTACAACCAGTTCAAAGAAAAATTCAAAGGACTCACAAATATATTAACAGTCACAAAGGCTGAGATGAATTTATAAATAGATATAAAACTTGGTTAATATGCACAGGACAATAATAAGTTGTTTCTTCTCAGGACAAAAAAAAGTGCAAATAATCCAAAAGGGTATACAAATCCGGACAGTTAATAATCTTTCTTGCCCATTTCCCTAACAGTTCTCTCTCCCCACCGATGATCATAATAATCTCAAAGATTATTTTTAAACACAAAAAAATGGCTGGTCTCATTAGTTTCGGCTTCATTATTTATATAAGTACAGCGAGATATTAATAAACCATATATCCTCCTTGAGTTTGTTTTGCAAATACTAAAGCCACAAAATTAACTTCTGTCTGGAAGTTTTCATCGGAAGTCTCGGATTCTACTTTAAAAAGTCTCTATTTTTGCCATCCTAAGATTAGGAAACCAAGCT